CCTTCTTAAAAACTCATTGTTTTTTTACCATTTCTCCATCTGTGGAATGGCTGATGTGTGGCTTAATTAACATTACAAAGGTCCAGGGTGTTTGCCTGAGTTCTCTTAGACTGGCAAAGTTTTTCTCATATAGCTATCGGTGGACAGCTATCGGCGTCCACTCTCTGCAGGTTCATTCCAGGCTCTGGGGCCTCTCATGTCTGCACCCAGGAGTAACACAGCATCACATCCCAGTGGCTGAGTGTGGGCCTCCAGGAAAATGACCCCTCTGAGTGTGAATGGGCCGTTGGGCTTACAGGGTGGGGGCAGGTGATGTGACAGGAAGTCAGGGGACAATCAGCAGCCTCCCCCTCCAGCATTGGTAGCTTGGGTCATTGGGTCCATTAGGTCACTAAGTCATTTCACAGGTGTTCTGGATAGCGTCAAGTTCTGGGCCCAGTGCTGGGCTCTGAATCAGTGAAGTGGTTAATACACATCTGGCCCCACCCTCATGTGATGCATCCTCATGCTGGAGAGCTGCACTACAGACAAATCAGGAAACAACAATTACCAGATTCCAGTTGGGAGGTGAATTATGAAGGGAGTACCAGTGTGCTTAGAGGGAGACTAACTAACTGGAGGAAACTGTTAGGGAAAGAGCCAAGCACCTGACTGACAGCTGAGCGTGAGAGCATCCGAGAGAGGGGCAGCTCTTGGGCAAGGATTCAGCACACTCAGAGCAGGGTTAAGTCAGGTGGGGCAGGTGGTAAGTGTGGCTCTGCCACTCAATAACTACATACTTCACCTTTTTGTGCCATAGTTTCCTCATTTGTAAAATAGGAATAAAAACAGTCTGTTCCTCATAGGGTGATTAAAAAGATTAACAAGTTCATGCACCAAAAAACATTTAGAGCATTACAGGGCTCATGGTGTGTGCTCCTTATGTAATATACTACCTCCCCCCTGTGCACACAAACATGCACATAACACGCACACACACACACACACACACACATTGAAACTACAGTGTGCTTGGAGTGGAGTCAGGGTTGGGGAGAGAAGTAGAGGATGAGGTGGGAAAGGAGAACAGAGCCAGATCAAGTGGGGTTTTGGAGACTGAATTTAATTCTTAGTGCAAAGGGAGTTCACCAAAGGACTTGAGCAAAGGTGACGTGAAAGTAAGAGAATGACTTTGGGGGAGGTGGCAAAAGTTGAATCAGGGAGGACAGTTATGAGGCTATTTTAAGAATATGGAAGGTGATGATAAGGGCTTGAACGATGCCGGCTCAATGTGATATGAAGGGTCCTGAATCCTAAACTCAAACAGAATTTCTTCATACCATGTTCTTCATACCATCTTTATACAGTGTTTCAAATCTTCACCACTGCAGTAATTCCTTTGGATTAATGATGGAATGATGGAATGAAATGTCACTGAGTGATTATTCATTTTCAGGTATGAATTTATGTAATTCTGACAATGACTTTGTAGGGTAGGTTTCTCTTAGCCCTGTTGCACAGATAGGAATACTTAAAGCTCAGAGAAGTCAAGAAAGTTGACTCAAGTCCCCCAGCTGGTAAGCAGTAAAACCAGAATTGAAACTCAGATCAGTTAGACTTCAACAATATTTTTTTGTTCCTGTTCTGTCAATGGGCTCAATTTCCTTTAGGTCTCATGGCGACATGGAGATGCGTTTTCTTAGAGGTAGCCTGTCACAAACACTTCTATCATCATTAAATCACTAGATTGGCTAGACGTTGGAAGGAATGGAATATAGATCATAAATGTTGTGATGGATTGAAAGAGAGGGGGAATAGTGTAGAGGAGTAGGGAAAGGAAGAGTCTGGGCACTGCAGACTGAGACACATGGCACAAAGTGTCTCTTTAGCAGTAGCGAATTCCATGTCTATTCATGGAAGCATTTGTCCCATTCCCATAGGCAGATATAGTGTTTGAACTTTGTATTCTCATAGCACCGGGTGCACACCTCTATTTTAGCTCATAACATGTTATATTAGCATCACTGTCCACAAATCATATGTCTCATGTCCACTTACTCAGCACTAAAGCTCCTAAAGACCCAGCTCCTAACCCAGAGTCTGGTGCAGTGGCAGGGAGAAGCAGTCAGAAGAGAGCATGGGGACACAATGTACACACCCTGCACACATGAAGAGTTTCAACTAGAGTTTGAGAAGCTGAAATATGGCAGAACAGGAAACTTGGAGCCAACTTGGCATCTCCTAAGCAGTAATCCGTCAAATCAACAAGTGAAATAACGTTGTTCTAGGTGAGAAGGTGGAGTGTCAGCCACAAGCTTGGACGTGTTAGGAACTCAAAGCCCTTTGGTTAGCTCGGTCACTGTGAACACTCCTACAACCTATTATTAATTTAACACAATAACGTGCCAGACACAATGTTGTCACCTTGTGAGTACGATCACTTCATATGTATTAGCACATTTCATTCTCACAGCAGTCTTCTCTGAAGGATATTAATTATCCCATTTTATGGAGGAGGAAATCAAGTCTTAGAGAGGTAGAGCTGCCCAAAGTGACCCAGCTAACAAGCTCTGGCTATCAGTTTAAAATCCCTGATCTTATCTACACTATGCTCTTCATTGTTCCATGACTGATGATAGCTTGCTGAGTAGCCTCCAGGTAGTTTGGGTAGAGTCCAGTTCAGGAGACAGTTGTAGGGGAGTGATGGGGTGGTGTGAGCAGGCTCTGAGAGAGGTGCAGGTTTGTGAAGATCTCTATATCTGGACTTATGCTTCTTGGTGTCTAAGGAGTCATCAACAACCTTTTGGTTAGAACCACTTTATTCCATAGGACTAAATGGTGAAATTGCATTTTAAAACTAGTTATAGTAAAAATATGATTTCATTTTTATTTTCATTTCAGAATTTTAGCTTTACAAAGGATGTTTCTAGATCCTTGGTGGAAAAAAAAAAGAAAACTTAATTTATCATTGTGTAGGCTCAAGCTGAGGATTTTAATTGCTTGGTAAATAATGAAACATTGAGTTTTCCTTAGTACTTGATTTCAAATAAGACTAATCCCACTCTCTCCATACGCCCATTCACCACCATCCCACCCACATAAAATGGTATATAATGAATGTCTCAAGTTATAATTAAGTAGTTTTAGATTTTTGCCTATTATAAAAGTAATAAAAGTTCTCTGTAAAGGTTTTTATAATTAAAAATAGGAAAAATAATGTGAAAATAATCTATATCATCACCTCCCAGATAGAGTCCCTATTAATTTATCTTTAAGACTTTACTTTTTAGAGCAGTTTTAGGTTCACGGCAAAATTAAGAGGAAGGTGCAGAGATTTCCCATATACTTCCTGCACCCACGCGTGTATAGTCTCCCCATCCATCAGCATCCTCCACCAGAGTGGTACATTTATTACAGTTGGTGAACCCACACTGACACATCATAATCACCCAAAGTCCATAGTTTACATTATGGTTCACTCTTGGTGTTGTACATTCTATGGGTTTAGACAAATTTAGAATGACATTTATCCATCATTATATCATCATACAGAGTATTTTCACTGCCCTGAAAATTCTCTGTGCTCTGCCCTCTCCCTGCTGCCAACCCCTGGCAGCCATTGATCTTTTTACTGTTTTCATAGTTTTACGTTTTCCAGAATGTCGTATAGTTGGAATCATACAGTATATAGCCTTTTCGGTTTGGCTTCTTTCACTTACTAATATGCATTTAAATTTTCTCCATGTCTTTTCACAGCTTGATAGCTCATTTCTTTTTAGTGCTGAATAATACTCCATTGTCTGGATGTGCCACAGTTTATTCATCCATTCACCTACTGAGAGACATCTTGGTTGCTTTCAAGTTTTAGCAACTATGAATAAAGCTGCTATAAGCATCTGTGCACAGGTTGTTGCATGGACATAAATTTTCAACTCCTTTGGGTAAATACCAAGGAGCAAGGTTGCTGGATAGTATGGTAAGATTTTGTTTAGTTTTGTAGGAAACCACTAAGTGTCTTCCAAAGTGGCTGTACCGTTTTTGCATTCCCACCAGCAATGGATGAGGGTTCCTGTTGCTCCACATCCTCACCAGCATTTGGTGTTTTCAATGTTCCAGATTTAGCCCATTCTATTAGGTGTGCAGTATTATCTCATTGTTGTTTTAATTTGCATTTCCCTGATGCCATATGATGTGGAGCATCTTTTCTTATACTTATTTGCCATTTGTACATATTCCATGGTGAGGTGAGAATTCCTATTAACTTTTTGGCATACAATTTTCAGATATGTTTATATACATCTACTGCATAAGTTTATCCAAATCATAATTACTTAATCTTCTCTTTTTTGCTTTAACGATAATGAATGAACATTTTTGTATTTTGTATTTTTGTGAAAGGACGCATATCACCAGCACAAGATAAGGCAGGGATGGTGGGGATGCAATATACTTGGCTCTGTTCAAATACCAAATCTTCCTTCACTGCATATTCTTTTCCACTGAACCCAGAGGAAACCTCAGAATCCTTCTCAACACTGGGTTCTAGGAAGATGGTACTATTCAATCAGAGTTGTAATAATAAACTATATTTTCCATCTCTATCCTTGAGCCTGAAATGAGGGGATCAAGTGGCTCCAACTATGAGAAACAAATTAATACAGAAGATAAATCATGAGAGATTATTACAACCAGGCATCTAACGCAGTGGAGCCTGGCATAGGTGCTTGTGGTATTCTCCTCCTGTCCCCTCAAGCAAAAGCTGACATATCACTAACGAGAGGTTTTACTTCTAGGCTGATGATCGGTTCAATTTGACTGAGTGGTGGTGGTTGCCTGTAAATAAATAATTCCCTCAAGTCTAATTATATTGTGTCTAGTCTCTATGCTTCCCATTGAGACGGGACCTTTCAGATTTCAAGAACGTTCCTATGAATTGGACAACAGCTAAGATGGGAAGCAGGAAGGGCAATTATGAGGATATGCACTGATCTCTCTCTCTCTCTCTCTTTCTCTGTGTCCAGAATCAGATGTCGCTGACTTTGATGGCCGAAGCTCCCTTCTGTACAGGTTCAATCAGAAGCTGATGAGCACTCTCAAAGATGTGATCTCTCTGAAGTTCAAGAGCATGCAAGGAGATGGAGTCCTGTTCCATGGAGAAGGTCAACGTGGAGACCACATCACCCTGGAGCTCCAAGAGGGAAGGCTTGCCCTGCATCTCAACTTGGGTAGGGTCAAGCTTTGCCCCTTTCCCATGTCAGGCTATGCGGAACTAGTTTTTGTAGGTCACAATTCCTTATCCTCCTAGTGTGTCAGGTGGAAGTCACTGGAACACAATATAAGTGACATATTTCACTTATCCAGGTTGGAGAAGAAAAATACCATATTTTGAAATGGTTAAGCCATAGATAGCATTTTTTTTTAAACTAGATCATGTTGGTAGGTAGGGAGAGCTACAAGCTAATTGCTGTTTATTTATTTATTATTTGTCTATCTTCCTATTTATCTATCTACCTATTTATCTGTTTATTTCTTTTAGTAACAAACTTTAAAGTAACTTGAGCAAGTTTAAACACTCACACACACACAGACATGCATGCACACATATTATAATGAGGCTTGCTTGCAATCTATTCTATTTGGTACATTTATGAAAGTTAAGTTCCACAGGAAAAAATGGAGAAAAACATTTTAATTTCTTTAAGTTCTTTTTTTTATTTTGGTGGAGGGAGAAGGGGTCATATTGTTGGGGGGGCGGGGTCTAAGTTCCTGAGCATTCCATGTCTTGTTAATGGAAACACTGTTTTCTGTAAGTGCCCTGGCTATGCCAGGGTGAGCCCTAGACTTGCCAACTCTGGCTAATTTACTACAGAATGCCCTCCTGCCTCCTGTGGGTTTAGGACACAGGCCTCCCGCTGTGGACTGCATCATCATGGCCTGCCTCACCACAGGCAGGTCTGTATCTCATTGTAATGGACTTCCTATCCCAGGGAAAGAGACAGAGGAGCTCAGCCTCTTTTATATGATCAAAGGTACTTTAGAAGGAAGGGTGAGCAGGGAGCAGAGTTCCCAAAGCTGCAACAGCAAACCAAAAACGCTGTTCTGTGGTAAAAGAAACCAGAAAAGGAGCCAAGCTGAGAAAAAAGGAAGTGACTGTTTTTTATGAGAATGACTCCCTGCCCCCTGTTTGATTCTTATTAATATTAGGAAAGGGGTAGATATTATACGTATGGAAGAGAAATTATCACTAAATATTTCCTGTCAAACAGTAGAGAAGGAAAGTCTGGCAGAATTTAGTTTATAAGTTCAAGTTGCATGGAAGACTGGAAAAAATCACAGATAAATGCTATATTTTAGCAATTAGTAGAAGAAACATAAGAATGAAGATTAGTGCAGACTCACCCCAAAAGCCAAACAATGTAAGTCTTTATTTTGAGGCATTTCTGAATATCTGTTTAGCCTCCGTGGTGAATATTGGCAGGGACATAAGGGAGAACTTCTGGAATCCTAAGTTTAACTCATAAAATTGACACCTAAGGCATTAGATTAATTATACAACAAAGGAATCTTTAGAAGCAGAGTCTCACCCAGAAGAGAGCAGTAAGAGGGTTTGCTAGTAACCTAATTGGTTGTATTAACACACCTACAGAAGCAATTTATCGATGAACTATCTGAAGGGTGGGCCTACAAATATTCAGCAGAAATACATCGGTTCTTTAACTGGCCTTCAGTTTTCAGGAAAGGAGTACAGTTGAAGGGAGCAGAGCCCTCAGAGAGCATTGTGGGTTGTAACTGAAGTAATATTACTTGTCAATAGTAGAGCAGGTGTCTTCAACTGCTAACATTGAATCTGCCAGTTACTGCCCTTTAGATTCCCAATTGAGATATGCCATGCCCCGCCCCCCCGAAGCTCTGCTCCGATATGCATAATCCAATGTTGTAAACCAGCTTCACTCACAGTACAGCATGATGGAAAGGAATAGATGTAGTCATGCAACAGATCTTATTTTAATTGCAAACATGTGCTAGCTATTTATTATGAGGAAAGTTACATAACCTACAAGCCTCCATTTACTTATTTCTAATCCGGGGCTAATACTATCTTGCAGAGCATGGATATGAAAATCAAAAATGTTATAAATGAATTTTCTATGTCAATAAATAAACTCAGTGAAGTATCAAAAACAGAAGCTCTTAATATTACTCATTTATTCAACAAACAATATCTGATCGTCCCATATCCTATGCTCTGACAGTCTTCCTGAAAAGAAAATGATATATTAAGATGAATAGGATCTGCTCCTTGCTGTGATACATAGAAGACAAAGTAGGTCTTTTTTTTCCAGATTCCATCTCCTTTATATTTCTAACCATGGTAGTGACAAAGTCAAACCTCATCTAGTGAATGATTCACTCGTAAGAATATGTTCTGTGAGTATTCTGCATAGTTTGGGAATTTCTTCATCGTTTTCATCTGCTTATGGATTTCCCCCATTTTCATCAGTTTACCATATTTAAGTGTTCCCTGGACTTACTCATTTTAAGCAGTCACCTAGGATACTTGTTAAGTAGCACAGATTTCCATGCTCCTTCTCTAGAGATACACTGCCATATATCAGTACTTCAGCCATTCATGCCTCAGTTATAGCCAGCAGGTCTCTGGAAGCACTGAGTTAAGGGGAAAGGGGCAATGAGAATCACTTTGATTTGCACATAATGGAAAATCTGTAATGTAGATTCTACAAGGGCAAGACAGCACTGTTCATTGCTGTAGCTTCAGAGCCTAGGAAAGCACCTGCCTCAAGTAGGTACTAGAGGCAAATTGAGTATATTTGAAAAATGAGTTCCCATCTTAAATATTAGAACCTGACACAAATACACATTATCCCCATTGGGCTTGCTCACCCCCAGGCCTATACTCCTGACTCCCCCATGAGCCAGTCTCTTTCCTACTATGGGGCCCTGATATTCACAGAATACCCACAATATGCTAGTATCCTACCGATCCTCAAAGCAGCCCTATTAGGTAAGTAAATACTAGCCCCAAATTACCCATATGGAATATTAGGCTGCAAGAGGATAAATTACTTGTTTAATTTACACAGTTAGCTATTAGGTATAGCAACAGTTAAAATCTAGTTACGTCTAACCAGTTTTTTTGCTATTATTATTTTTACTATTATTTTCAGATAAAATACGTCCGTTTTAAAGCACTTGAAGAAAAAACCAAAAACAAGTATAAAGAACGGAAGGAAAAAAATTACTCAAAATCCTACAAATCAGCCATCCCTCCTATTAACATTTTGGTATATTTTCAAGTGTTTTTCTTAATTATTTATGTGAAATTTTTACATATTATATAAAATTCATGTTCTTTCCATGTTGTCACATAGCCTCCAAAGTAGAAAAAGTTCATGCCATCCATGATCATGTTTGGTTTTTTTTAAGAAAAGAATAGGGAGGAAGGGAGGAAGGGAGGAAGGAAGGGAGGGAGGGAGGGAGGGAGGGAGGAAGGAAGAAAGACGAGGGAGAGGGGAGAGAGACAAGAAGAATCCAAGAATCCCAGATAATGGACTAACGAATGGTGCTGGGCCAATGAAGGAGGAAGTTTTCCCTTCCTGGCTCACATGGACACTCTAGCTGTGTTTTCTTTAGTGACAGTTCTCCAGGGTCTGTTTCTTACCTCATCTGTGACTGTACAATTCAGAAATTGAGGATCAGAGTGGAGGGGCTCAGTAACATGGCCAGATGCTGAGGATGGCCCTTGGAGACATACACGCTGTGGTTCTTTTCAAGTGATGCTCTTTGCTGACTGTCTGATTCACATTACCTGTTACCCTGGCGGTAGCTGACTTGAACAGGTCAGTTCCATGGTGAAATTGGAGTAGGTGGTTCCTCTTTGATGACTTTCTTAGGATAGAGCCATGATTTTTCTAGAACTACTAATGGGAAAGAAATTTCTTCTCTCAATCCTTAAGGAGATTAGTGCAATCCCTCTTCTCACATTTTACACATCTCATTCAGATCACCTGTGGCAGTTGGCCCTCTAGCATTCCAGCAGCACAAACCCACACATGCAGGTGGGAGAATCAAAGAGCAGTGGTATTACGTGACTAGGGAACTGTTGTAAGAACTAAACAAGACATCAATAGTACATGCAGGTCACTCATTCTTAAAAGAGTTCAGTGTCTTTAACAGAGGCAGAATGTTTGTGCAATCCGCAATAAGCACAGCTATAGTAAAGGGAGGACCTGCAATACATAAACAGGTGCAGAGCAGAGTGTCCTTGGGAGCCCAGCATAGAGTTCAGAGGCCAAAGCACTTTACTGCATAATCCACTCATTGAGATACCTTGAGATAACCGGTGAAGGTTCTGCACATTCTCCAAAGAGTCAAATGACATTTACTTTAGCTCTTGAAATTCAGGCATTTAATAAGCCAACTCACATGTATTTATAGAATATTTATTGTATTTCTAATCTCATGTTAAACATTATGTAAGATTTTTTAAAGTTGCCATTTTTTGACAGCCTGCACTTAAGCACTGACTAGACATTTTTAATGTATATTTCATTGAAATCACATGACAATCCTACAAACTACATGCAAACCCATTTTCAGATGAAGAAACTGATGGTCAGTGATGCCTAGTCAGTTGCCCAAGGTCACATACTGCATAACTGTAGACCTGGGATTGGAACCCTAGCCAATCCTACCTCAATGTCTGACATTAATAATTAAAATGTTATAAACCATCAGGAAACAATTGCTCATTAAATATCAGGAAGTCAATATTCATGTATTAAATGGTGAGAATAAAGAGATCAGGGTGGGAGAGGAGTGCAGAAAGGCTTCATGGATTAACCTTGAAATTTTATTATAAAAAGGAGAGGAAGACAGGCATTTCAGACAAAGTGTCAGTCGGATAAGATGCACCACATTTTTAATAAGTTTTGTCATTCACATAATAAGAATTTTTTGCTCACGTACATGAAGTCAGGCACTGAGGTAGGTGCCGGGGGTTAAAAGTTGGATTTACCTGTCCCTATTTTCATGGAGCTCCCAGTCTGATAAAATAATTATTTCTATTTACTTTCTAACTTTATAATACTAATTAAAAATATATAAGTATGTATAACCAAAACCATATATCATAAATGTGTTAAGACAGCATTTTCTAAGACAGCAAAGTCACAGAAGATGGATACAAATTAGGGACCAGACTTGA